TATTATTTTCTTAATATATGTGTTAAATTTAAATATAATAAGTAAAAGTGAATGGAGCTATGAAGTTCTAGTGTTTTTCTAGAGAAGTATCTAAAACACTCCTAAACTTGACACAAATTATTAGTTTCACCCTCAAATAATTTATAGCCAAAGACACTCTTTACTCGACTAAGTGAACTTAAATTCTCACCTATGTTAAAAAGTATTTTCAACATTTCTCATAATATTTTATTAACGGTCACATATTCGTACAAAAGTTTGAGATAATTTACTATCATGTGGCAAGATCGAGAATAGTTATAAGGTTTTTCACAATTAGTCGCTAACGTTAATCATTCGAAACCGACTACATTTAATGTATACATTTTCAATTGTGAAATATTTAAATAAGGCGAAACAAGACGAGTTATATCAAGTGATTTTTCAGCTTTTTCTCTGCTGTCATTTTTTTTATTGATCTTAATATTAGCAAAGAAAAAGATGGTCTCCCACTTGTCAATGGTCTTTCGTATTCATATTTATTAGCGTGCTGTATTTTTGTTCGATAAAAAAATATATTGATTATCTTTCACTAAAAAGTACATATCGATATATTTTGAAATATTTTTATTTTGACGTAAAAAGTAATAGTTTAAAAGTGAAACTAATGAAGAGTGTTCTTCACTTCAGCAAAAGTTTGAGTCGAACAATATTTTCAATCAGATTTTTATACATCGTTAACTATAAAATGTTATTACTAATAGCAAGTTACATGTATAATTACAATAGTTAGCCAATTATATGTATTAAATTAATATGAAACTTAAGAAATATAAAAATAAAACTCTAATTTTTCATCTAGAAAAAAAATAAATGCAGTATGCTCATTTGTTAGTGAAACATGTGACATGTTTTGATAACTCATATGCAATAAATTCACATGACATTAGCATCAGAGCATGAATAAACTGTTGACTTATAAGGTCAGTCATAATATAATTAATATCTAAATATAGAATTTAACTTAATCTTAATTGATATTTTATCTTTCAATTTTATGTGTAGTATAAGTATACATTAAAATTTATATAAAGTTAAATGAGCTAAGTAGATATAAATATCTTATGTGGCATAAGTGTATATCACGTGAATCATTACGTAGAATGCTGCGTGCAAGTTTTAAATTTCTACTCGTACACATCTAAATTAGAAAAAAAAATATAAAGACAGAATCAACTGATACCAAATTAAATAACACGTTTATCAAAAACATGTATATAGAAGATATTGTATTGATTTCTTAAATCATAATCAAAGTACATATCCACCTAGTTATAACACCAAACAACAACAACAAAGTGAGGTAATATTACAATGATCACAACACATAAACTAGTTCCTTTTGCTTCCCCTTTTTTTAGGTTAAACAAAACATTCTTCAAGAATCATTAATTGTCACAACCCTAGGCACTTCAACTGGAAATTCATCAATCTCATCCATCCAAGGATTCTTCTCCTTAGCAGGATTAATAGTCCTTAATGCACACCACACAGCACTATTACACTTAAATCCTGAACCAAATGCAATTTGCCATGTCCTATCACCTTTCTTAATCCTCCCTTTAGCTTCAGTATACGCCAATTCATACCACAAGGAACTACTTGAAGTATTACCAAATCTATAAAGTGTCATCCTTGATGGCTCCATATGCCATTCACTCAACTCAAGATTTTTTTCTAACTCATCCAACACCGCCCTACCACCAGCGTGTATACAAAAATGTTCAAACGCTAACTTAAAATCAGGAATATACGGTTTTATTTTCATCTTCAACACTTTCCTCGCGACTAATGTCGCGAAAAATAATAGTTGTTCGGACATAGGTAGAACGATTGGCCCTAGAGTTGTAATGTTCGTTTTCAAGGCCTCCCCTGCTACAGCCATTAGGTCTTTAGACAGCGCGACCCCGATTTTTTTATTATCGTCTTCTTCTTGGAACACACATCCATAGCTCTTGTCATCGGCGCCTTTGTGTGTTCGTACTGTGTGTATGAGTTGGTATTTTGAACGCTTTCGATCGGACGATTTATTTGATAATAATATTGCTGCACCACCCATACGAAAAATGCAATTTGAGACTAGCATGGATCGATTGTTACCAAAGTACCAATTTAGTGTTATGTTTTCCATGCTGACTACTAGTGCATATGAGTTTGGTTGAACCTGTTACAACGTGTGATATAAATAACATATGAAAAAATGAAATTAGTAGAAATATTTTAGTACAATATTAAAAGCTAGCTAGCAGTTGGTAGATGTTCAGACATTAAATTGACTATGTCCACTTGAACCTTTTTTTTTTTATACTCAATTCAGCAAAATCATGTCACATCTCATACGAGTTAACTAATTATTAATTATGTGTACGTCTCAAATGAGTTGAGTTGGAGTCGGCTAATATATGAAAATATTTGTACCATTTCACTATAGTCATCATGTTCATTTTATTCTAATTAATTACATAGTAATATATCTTTAAGGAAACTAAATATCACGTAAATCTTTTACTAAAAATAATAGAAAAAGAGAGCAAGATTTTACTAAGATGATGTGTATATCACCTATATTATTCGAACTCATCAAAAATATCGTGTAATATATGTCAGATCCTTCAAAACTAGTATTTTTTAAAGATTTTGCTAATTTGACATATTCTTAAAATCCGAATAACTTAGCATACCACCCATACTAGTGATTCATGTAATTAAAAACCATGCCAAGAGCACTCTTAAAAGCAACTTAATTAATACTCTCGTAAAGAGTAAATATATATATTAGTAATATAATTTTATTATTTGATGTGTTGACCAATTTATTTAGAAAAAGAAATTGCATATTGCAAGTAACTTAACTTTCATATAACTTAACTTTCATAAAAATAATATATATTATACTGTCAGTATATATAACTTAAACGGAAAACAAACCTGTAGCATTTGCTTGGCAAGGTCAATTGAAATTAATCCAGCACTACATCCCATACCACCAAGGTTATAACTCAAAATATTTCCTCTAAGCTTATAATGATTAACAATCATAGCAGAAAGTGATGGAGTTGGATTAAATAAACTACAATTCACCACAAGAATCCCAATATCCTTAGCCTTAACACCAGTTTTCTCTAACAATTCATCAATTGCACCAAACATAACCATTTCAGCTTCTTTTCTTGCCTCAGCCATACAAGGATTTGGTGGCAATTTCAAAAGTGCTTCCGGAAAATACGTCTTTTGACCTAAACCTGACCTCTCTAGTATTTTCTTCTGAAAGGCCAAATTCTCCTCAGTGAAAATCCCGGCTAACTTTGATCTCTCCATGAATAATTCCTTAGGACACATAACTTCAGGTTTGGGCTTGTAACACGAAAAATCGACTAGGTACACTTTACGTGGCCTAGTCATAAAATAAAGTGTAGCCAAGAAAACTATAAGGGCTGAACATAAAATTACTGTGACAAGATTGAATTTTAGTTGATTCCATAATTGAACCATATCTTCCATAGTAATTGTTGAAAGATGAGCAAATAAAGCCATTAAAATTGGGATAAGGAACAAATACATAGCATGGCTAATCAAATAATGATAGCCAAGTTTAACATATTTGAGCCTAACTGATAATAGAAAATTTGGAAGTTTATTACTATTAGCTTCAATTGAAACTCTTCTAGTTGATTCATCTCCCATTTTGTTGGAATTTTTCAATCAACCCCACAAATTTATCAACTATAACTTAGACAAATAAGTGACTTTCTTGGATTTTTATTGATTTTTTGTGATAAATGTGAACAAGAAGTACACAAGTAAGAAAAAAAGGACTCGAGGAAAAGTAGAGATGTGTTGAGGAGGAAAAAAAAAGGTTGTATGAGAATTTAAAGAGTATGTGGAGAAGTGGGGTGTGGGGGGGGGGGTACAACTACCCCAACAAACTTTTAATTGTTAGCCCTACTATAACATTTAATTAAATTTGCCAGAAGGAAAACTAGAGGAATTTTCTTGTATAAGTTTTTATATATATATATTTGGAACTTTGACTTACTCTCACCAACTATGATTTCTTCTTGGCACCCTAAAAGTTAATAGCCATAAATTATTGCATTTGCCTTGTTACACAGTAATAAATTAAAGGAAAAATTTCATATAGCAAACATAATTTATTAAATAATATTATATGAATGTAGTTTACATAATTACATTTTATGGGTATAGTTTAGTTTGTTATGTATCTTTAATTTGTATAAAGCATTTTTTTTATTTTTAATTTATTTAATATTTTACTTATTCATTGAATAGTAACAAATATCGCTAAATAAGGTAACAAACATTTACACAATCCCATTATTAAAGCTAACCATTCAAAATCAAATATTTTCTCAATTTTATTTAAAAATAAGTCATATGAAACACTTAGACGTTAATGATATTATTTGTATATATATACATGTATATATTTGAGAAATTGTAAATAATTTTTTATACAATTTGATGTGTAATTTATTATGTATTATTAAATGTATATGAGATCATCATAAATATGAAAATTGTATATATAACAATCATGTTTGTTTTTTTAAATAAAAAGTGTGTTGTATTTGTTCTTAATTATTTTCTAGTAGTTTATTTTGTACACAATATTTTATTATGTTCATTTTTTATAGTAAATATCTGCAGATTTGATAATATACAATAATTTGGTATATCGATTATATTTGTATATGTACATATGTAATTTCATGTTTTTTTAAAAAATTAATGATCAAATGATTGTATAATATTCATTTGTCAATTGTATATATGGTAAGCTTGAAATATGTTTGTGTATTTAGTGCGTAATGTTTATATATACAATATTTTATCATTTTCATAATTTTTTGTATATATCGACGAATTTGTATAATATACTATAATTTTATATATGTATTATACAATATTTAACAAATTTCTTTTATACAAATATTTGTATACAAATAACAATTATCTCATAATACTTTGTATATATTACCTTAATACGCAATCCACTATATACATAACTTTAGTAATTTGTATATAAATTACACAACCTGATGTTCTTCAGATTTGTCTAGTTTTGTCCAGTTTTGATGAGATAGATCCAATCTCGTCTGAATTTATGTTTTTGACTTTTCTCTTGCTCCAACCTTCAATTGTCTTAATGCCGCTAGATTTTGCGTTGTTGATGACTTTCTGGTCATTGGGTCATTTTTTTCTTGAATCTCTATTCAAGATATTGTTCAATTTGAACTTGTTTATGTTGTCATATACCTATATTGACCCCAAAATCTTGAAATAACTCAATTGAAAACGAAGGTGAATTATCAACAATATTGATATGCAATGACATACCTTTGGTAATCCTCATATATGGAGATGAATGCTTTATTCTCATTTTGAAGAACTTTAAATTGATAAGAAAGAAAGAATTTTTTTTAAAAAAAAAGTATGAAAAAACTAAGAAAAATAATAGATATATAGTTATGTTGATGAAGGAAAAAAATTAAAAAATAAGAACTGGATTAATGAAAGTAAGAGAACAGGAATATCTAGAAATTTTTCAAAATTCAAAATAGGAGTGGAGTGATTTTAGGAGAAAGATATGGAATGAGTGTAGGAGAGATAAAATTGATTTGATAAAATTATATATAAAAAAGATAAACTTTTTTTTATGGTTGGATATACAAAGAAGTGGTGGGTCCCGTTAATTATGGCCAAAAAAAATGAAACTATAGTTATTGAGAGTAAATAAATTAAATTATACCCTTATTTGCTAATTACTTAGGGATGTTTGTCATTCGACGTAATTTTTCCTAAATTAAAATTCAGGCAAAAAGGATATGATAAGTTGAGTGGATGGAGTTGCTTCTCGTTTTTTTTGTTTTAGAAATTTTTAATTTGAGTTTTAGATGTGAAATAGTATTTAGAAATGTGCGAATCTAAATTATTCGAGCTTCAATATGAATATCAGAAACTGAATAAAAAGTAAAAAAATAATAGTTAAAATTAATCTTCGTGTTCAATTATTTTATATAAATTTCTTTAATTGATCACAGAATTTAAGAAGAAAAAATTACTTTTAAAACTTATAGTATTAAATATGTTATAATATTTGTGTGAAATGATCATTTTAAAAATTCTGATATTACACTACTTATTTGTGTGGCTATAAATAAGTCATTAGTAAGTGCTCTCTCTGTTATTATTTACTTGTTCATATTTTCTCTTTTAGTTATTCTTATTTACCTGTACATTTTGACAATTAAGAAAGGACAAAAAGAAAATCCTATTATATCCTCATTTAAATTTCTTAAAAATTTTCAAGTCTTAATTCATTTTTTTTGAAACCATAATTAATAAGGTTAATTGTAATTTCACTATATTAATTATTATTATCTTAACATATGTGTCATTTCTAAAGTGGATAACTAAATAGAGACAGAACATATGTATAATTAATTATACAATTATATATATTTTATTCTTATTTTTAAAAAAAGTCATTCTTCTTTAACATAGCAAAAGGGAACAAATTAACGTATGGGGACATTAATTATGAGTATGTGTTGTAAGATTAAATTTTTCATAACATACATATTTTAAACACAATAATCTTACATAGAGATCGTTAGAGGTACATACCTGATGAGGAATACATCATTACAGAGAAAAGTGAAAGCGTTCGTTAGTCGTAAATTAGTTTCTACCTTCTTGTCATAACTTTATATTACCACAACAGCTAACGATGAAATTAATGCAGAGAATATGTGGTAACCTAATAAGTTGCGGGATGACCAATTTATAGAGTTTATGACTAACCTGTTACGTCCATCAAGTAATCAATGTACGATTGAGACTAATATTCCTTATTAAATATTATTTATAATATTACTTAGATTACAAGTAAATTTGGATCATAAGTAAGAAACAATTAATAACAATAATAATTAATAATAATAATAATTCTTACATGTGTATCATGTATTTAAAATGAAATTACTATTATATTTATTATATTTTGTAATTAAGCAAAATCTCATTATTTTTTCGCTTTGAGAAAGGGCGATTTCGTGAAAATAAAATTATGGGGATAATGTGATGAAATTGCTAATCGTCGTGTCAACTTATTACGATATTGTTGTGTTAACGTATGACACTGTCCAAATGATTAAGACTTAAGTAACATTACCAAGTAAAACATTTTTTAATGAAGTGACTAGAAAAGTACTTTTTTCATGTTATTCTTATTTTTTTAAGAAAAAAATAAATAAAACCTTTTTCTTGTTAACTAAATTGATCATATAAAAAACTTTACAACGTCGTCACTGTATATCTATATAACCCAAAAATCCTTTTGTAATACTCTATTTAACTCTAAAATTTATACATATAAAATCTAGGTGAGTGTGTAATAATTGTACCGAGTCGCTGAATTTTATTTTATATTAATAAGATTATTCAGTTAAGAGTTTTTCTCTTATAAAATCGCTTAATTAAATTTCAGTCAGGAGTTTTTCTCTTGTAAAATCGTTCAATTAAATTTTTCATAATAAAAAAACCTTACCTATTAAAATTTTGAGTTTGAAAATTAATATCACTTTATATTTTATATACGATAATAAACCCTCAATAACTAGAAATTAGTTATATTAATTATTAGATATATTTTTGAATATAAAATATCAAGAACGACTTTTAACTAATATGAATGGTAACATATACTCTTTTGAATAATTAATTTTATTTTTGAATTAAATGAATCATCTCCAATCAAATGTTATTTTTTTAAATAATAATAATATTTTATTAATTTAAATATTTTTTAATATTTACTTACTTTTTTATTTGAATTGTATATTTATATATTTAAAAGAATATAAATTATGGATATTCAGATATTAAAAAATAAATAATACTAAATTTTAATTATTTAATATTCAAATATCAAGATAATATCTTAATCATTTAAGTGTACGTTTAAAATCAATTACTCTTAACCGTTGGTTTCCACTCATGTTCTTTTAGTGTCATGTTCAACACATACTTTCAAATCAAACTTTACATTAATTTTTTTTTAAAAGAAAGAAAAATCATTAAGTAACCCTATTTAGGGTTGGGTACCAAATTAAATGGCCTGCAAAATTAAATCCCAAAAATATTTTTGATTAACCATCTAAATTAAAATATTTTTATTGTTGTTATTATTATAATAAAAAGAAGCTACTCAAGTAGGTGAACCATCTACAAGATTATATACTATTTATAAAAGTTTCTCAAGTAGGTGACCATCTAAACTATGATTTACCAATCTTACGTGACATACAAAAATGCTAAAAATAAATAATCCACTTGAATTTATTTCTAACAAAGTTCAAATTAATGTTTTTAACCCAATGTATTATAAATGTACAATAATAAAAAAATGAATATACTCTTAATATTCAAAAATAAGGTGCGAGTAAGCATTTACTCCCTCTTTCCCTTATTAGTTGTCCTTCCTTTTATTTTGTCCCTCAATTTTAACCAATCAAGAAATGACAGTTTTTATATTGTATATTCTCAATTCATTACATTAAAAAAGATAAAAAATTTTGAAAATTTTAAATTTTTAATTCAACTATTTCATAATTAATAGGATTAAAATGATAATTTCACTTTGTCGTTAATTGTCTTATTAGTAAGAGTGTCAATTTAAAAGTGGATAAATAATTTGAGACAGAGAAAGTATTTTTTAGTTAGATAATCGTTCTATATGTCTATTGCCATACTATTCAATATGTGAAAAATCCTCTAGCTAGTTAGGGAATTCTTCACATGATTATTTTGTGAAGTCTATACAAATTATAAATCATATATATGGAGCAGAATAACTTTCCAAATTACTCTTCTTATTCGGTATTGTTTTGACATATTTTTTAAAAAAAATAACAAGTATAATAGTGATTTTTCTATATAGTTCTTTGAATATAACAAATTTAATATTTTGAGAAATATATTGAAAAATAGTTATAGTTAATATAATAAGGTAAGTTAGAACTAAAAGATAAATTGTTTCTTAATTATATTTTGGCATATATATTATTTACTTTTTTTAATCAATATATACATATATTATATACTAGTTATACCTATATCATATATCAATCATATATTGGTGATTATTTTTAATTTAAGTTATTAAGTGAGTGACTATTTGGTGATTAATTCCTTCATAAATACACGTAACTTTAGGTGACATGACCTTAGACTATATTTTAGCATCATGAGAATGAAAACATACAATAAATTAGCCCAAGCTAGAATCATATTTAAAAATGATATAGTAAATTGTTATTTTATTAATTATTTTTTTAAAAATGTATTAGGCCAATATCTAGGGCAAATAATGAAAAAGCCCAAGCTTAACAAAGGTAGATTATATCATTAGGCCGTGAAAAGATGATTGAGGTTTATCTATCCTTAATTAGAGATTTCATAGTAAATCAGTTAAAATTTTGAATATGAAAAGAATCTTGCTAAGAGTTGTATCTCCAGAATGAGTTTTATAATGCACAATTTTAATATAATCAGACTGTAATATAAATACTAACCATCGAAACAAAAAAAAATAATGATAGAAGGAACCATATCTTATTTAAAATTATCCCAGTCTAGATCTAGAAAGCAAAGTCAACTGCAAATGCATGTATTATTATTTTTATTTTTATTTTTTGGCAATTTTAGAGTGATTTATTATATAAATTTATACTTTATATAGTAAATATCAACTTCAGATTAAATTTAATATTATAAAGTTTCATTGCTTCTATCTCTAGGATAAATACTTATTCAAATTAGCTCCGCGTAAAGCTTGAAAATTTTAAACACTCATTGTAAAAATAAAAAATTCATTCACGATTAAAAGCAATTTGAAGCTTCTCCTCACGGCGAAGAAATTTTATCTATTTTATCATAATCTTACGTGAAATATATTGGTGACAGATATAATAACGTTGGGTTCACACGTTACTATAAATGTTTATAGAAAATGAAAGCCTCAAACAATAAAAATCATATCACTGAACTGGCAATCTAAGTTTGACTTCTTAATTATATGTGCTACGTATAGAACGTATAGGGATAATATTAATAAATAATTGTAATTAATAGTATTGATAACTCATTTTGTAGTTAGGAGCTAGTAGGAAAATGGAATTGCGATAAATTGTGCTACACTTTTATTTGGGGAGGCATATAAGATGTAATCTTTTTTATACCGTCAAATAATTTTCGATATTTTCTCGTGATATAACTGTAAATTAAATTTAAAATAACTTTTTTAACATTCAAGTAACTTTCAGTTTTTTCTTACGATTTTCTGCAAGGGGGCGATAGTTTATTATTTATTTGTTATGAGAACACTTTTTCGATTCAGTTTTACTTGATAGGATATAATTATTTACAGTTAATGTGACTGATGCTTAGAGTTAAATTGAATCAGGTTAATTTAATATTAAAAAAAGATAAAAAATTAAATGTTGAAACTTCTTATATTATTATATTATTATGATGAAGTACATCTTGATATATTTGATAAAAAATTTATGTGATTTGACTCTAATACATAATGTGATATGCAAAATATACGGAGGAAATAATATTTTATGATTATTATTAAATATGTTTTAAGGAAGAATATTGAATATAGACACTTGCTTTTTTTTTTGTTA